AGGGCTGCATTCATTGGCATGACCCACAGATGGGATGAAAACATTCACAGCAGAGGAATGCAGCTCAGCTTAAAACTCTGCATTTGAAAATGCAGGGCTCTTCTTCACCCTTGGCAAAAGACTGTGGGGGATGCCACAAATGCATAATAAGCGACAATAGAGATATTATAGACTGGGCTATACCTCCGTGCTTTTGTTTAACTAAGACTGTTATGCAGCACCATAAATTAAGTTCCAGCATCACCCTGTTTTTGTCCAAATAAAAGTAACATAAATGGGGAGTTGAGTGGTGTGAACCTCTCTTCCTCTTTAGTGTGAATTCATAATCCAAACATAAGCTACCCAGCACCATGAACCTAAACCAACTGTCAGGGTTTGAGGGAAGCCAGCATTCTATAAGGTAGCAGGATCAGGAGGGAATAATCCATGACCCTGATTTAGCCCAACCTTCAACTTTCCCACCCAGACATCCATTATTAATTATTCTTCTACCTCTCTGAACCTTACCAGAGTGAAGAGACAACTGTCATTCTTAAATAAGTAAGAGTGACATTTTAAAAGCATATAAAAACGAAAAGAATTGTCAGTGTGTTTATTGTAATAGCCGGTAATAAAAATGTTGAACTGCTGCTCTCTAATACAATTCCACTGACAGAATTATCATAAAATCTAAGAAAATAATATGCTGCCCCAGCCCTGCACTACCAGTAAGTTGTGCAGAATTATTTCACTCCATATGAATAAATGTAAATCTTAGCAAGAAAATGGATGAAATGACAAAATATGTACCTATATTTTAAGGTGCCTTTATTTAAGTATCTGTAGTTTCAGAGTTTAGTGACAACATCATTATCTGGCTACTATCACAATTTAATGGTATCACCATTTATGAGTACAGATTTCAAGGGGAAAAGTGATCCTTGCAGAACAATATAATACAGTGTACAGATCAGTAAAATATACATTTATTCTTTGACTTATAATTCGGTGTTTTATGTTTAAATGCACTGATATTGTCAGAAATCTGTATTCTCTAGATAGTATTTTGCACAGCTAAACATGTTGCTCAGTTTAGAAGATTTTAATCTCAATCAAAATACTAGCACTTTTCAGGATTTCAAATAATGGGAGAGAACGATTACATGTAGCGCAGAGGTAGTGTACTTGGTCTCACCCGTGTGTGCTCACTGGAGCATCAGAAAAGGCCTCCGAGTACACGAATAAGAGTAGTCCAGAGGGGAGGATCCTGCCACCAAGATTCTACAGCCGCTCCCAAACAAGCCCACTGCCCCATTTTGAACACATGAAAAGTGCTAAATTGGTATCAGAATGAAGGCCAACATATTGAAGGGAAAACATACTGCTAGTTTTAATTCACTTTCTATCAGGTTTCCAGCCCTAAACTCTAAATATCCAGGAGCATAACAGTATTAATGTAGTATAAAGCATAGAAGTATTCTTCTTAGAGAAGAGAATGCTTCATCAAAAGTAGAATGTAGACAACAGATGGCAGAAGTACACAAATGCAAGGACCGATTGTCAAAGCATATTCTAAAGGCAAGACTATCATACATGATGCAACCAGTGAAAGTCAACTAGGCCAGGCATGTGTAGTGAAAGTTACTGTGGATCAGGAATTCTAGTCTCAGAGCCAAATTCAATTTTGGAAAAGTGCTCAGAGAGAGGCTAAAATACCAGAAATCATGGTTTGTTACTGCACAGACTTGTAGTTTATGAAATAAACTTTATAACAGGTAGGGCTCTGTGTTTGTGCGTTCGTGTGTGTGCGCACATGTCCATGTATGTTTGCCGTTCATCTTCATGAATGGCGTCATCAAGGGTGGGGAGGTAGAAGGATTGATAGAGGATGATGGGTAACAGAATTTTGTAAAGTCATTCTCAGTAACAGGTTTCCCCCAAATTCCTGCTGCTAGGGGACTGCTGCCTTACAAAGAAGGAAAGGTAATTTGCATTTGTCCTAAGAGCTGACACAGAGGTACTGTAGTACAAGCAGCAGGCAACAGTTGTGATCCACATTTAGCAGTGTTTTGACAGGTAGCCATATAGATATACACAGTTCCACTGCCAAAAGACTTATGTTCGCCAAAGCAAAAGGTCGACTTTCCAAACAATAGCAGATCTATCTGATTCTGCCGCTTGCTAGTTACTTAATCCAGATGAAAAGAAGCTTTTCATTAGAAGATGAAGCAAGTTGTCATCCCTTGCCACCACCTCCTAAAAGGAACCTAAAACAAATATGGCCTTTGAGCTCCACCTAGGGGAAGCCTTATATTTAAATCTGCATTATTATGAACAAAGACATGGCACAAATGCGACAATATTCATCAGAAGTTTTGTTGAATAGGATGGTTCATCTCTGTGCAGCAAGCCTATTAAATAAACATCAAGTTTTAAATCTTCAAAAAATTTATCTTTGTTGTCAAGGATGATCAAGAATCAGCCCAATGTTCACAGCTGAGCTGACTGCAGACCAAATTTAAGAGACCTTCAGTCCAGATCTAGATGTGTATATGTATTTTACTAAATGTAGTCATGGTGCAGGCAGTTCCTGATTTGATCAGAAAAGCAGCCTGGGGTCTAGGGATATTTAAATCTTCGCCCTACATCAGGAGTGCAGAAACTCAGGCACAGGGTCCCAATCCAGGGGTCCCAATCTGGCCCCTCCACGTTTTTGCAGAAGGTTGCACTGTCTTTCCCTAAAACTTGTGGATTTTGTGCAGCCTTCCCCCAGTTTGAAAGGCTGAAATGCCTCTCCTGAGGCTTGGCTACTGGCATATTTTAAACCAAAGTATGAGGTCATTTTTATATACTTTGGCCACACCCCTTTTGCCTTTTGTCCCACCCACCACTGGCAGGTGGCCTTTGAGCTGCTCTGAAACACAATTTGATCCTTGGGCTGAAAAGCAGTTCAACAGCCTGCAGTAAACCTTCTCCCTAAATTGCCCCATCTTTCCCCCTACCTTTCCCCTTTCTTTTTACTTATGTGCTGTGATTCCTTTCTAGTTTCTAAGCCTGAAGGCAGAGCCTCTTTGTTTTGGGACTGCATGCAAGCTGCTCTGGGGAGCTTTTAAACTATGGAGTGGGATAATAATACGATAAAAATTACTAAATCATAGCTTAGTGAATTTTGTTATATGTGAAAGAGATATGCCATCTCTATGCCTTGCCCCTCCTTCCATTGAGCAAGCAGGCTGCCCACATTAAAAAATATACGCATTTGCCTTTACACCCTGCTGACAGAATCAAAAAAACTTTTTATCATTAGCCACTTTCCCCCAGGAATCAAAAGATAAGATGCACTAGTGGCATCATAGGCACTTCACAATCACAACAAGCAGTTTTTCCTCCTTCAATCGGACACATTTTTAGACCGTATTCCAGGATGACAGGAGTGGCTATGCTTGCTCAGACAATAGCATCAGTGCTTCTAACATCCTTAAATAAAACTGTTATGTCTGTCCTCACCCGTAATATATTTAAAACACAAGCTACAATCTTTAATCGTATTATATAAACACCCTGGATTGTTTTCTTCAGCATGCTCCCAGAGAGCAGAGCTCTAAAATAATTAATGCCATCTCGTGTTCAGTTTTATTTCCCAATGAACTGCTTTTTATCTCTGTTGTAATGCACTTTCTCATAGAAAATACTGTCTGGTTTAGTGGCACATGAAGAGCTATTATGCTGGGTGATGCGGCTTTTGAATTTGGCCTCTTTCACAATCATAGCGCTTCACATAAAATCTTCAGCTGGAAAGGACCCTCAAGGACCATCAACCCCAGATATGTGCAGTGAGTCAGGGCTCATAATAGTCGAGTTATCCCTGCTGCCAATGTGTCCACCCTTTTTCTAAGAAAGACTACAGTGAAGACATGTGATCACCACCTGAATGTAAATGTGATTTGGGAAGAGTAGTTCTCAGTGTTCTTTATATATCTGCATTTATTTTCTGATGCCTTCCCCAAAGTAACTGTTCACCTGCCTTCACTAAACTGCTTGTAAATATTTGGTGGCCTAAGATCTTTTGGTCCCTTCAGTGAAATATGAAAATGTCACATTTCTCCACTCCTTCTTGGATTCCTGCTCTTAACAGCCTTCCCTCCTTCATCATCACTTCTGTTCCTACAGTTGAATTTTCCAGATTATCTGTTCCCTTTAACAAGTCTCTCACTGGTTCTCAAGTACTCACTAGCTGCTTCAGCTCTCCAGTTTACATCCACTCTCAGACCCATTTAAGTTCCCACCTGACTCTTCTTGCTATTGCTGGGGTGGGAGACTGGCAGTCCTCCAGATGTATTGGCCTATGACTCCCAGTATCCCTCACTGTTGGTTATGTTGACTAAGGCTAGTTGTGGCTCTAAATGTGTTGGCCTTCAGCTTGCTCAGCCCCGTGCCATTGCCACATTCCCATGTCAACTGTCTGATCCTGCCTTACACCCTTCTATTCTGCATTTGGTTTAGTAGTTTGGGGGACTGAGAAGCAAGTCTACAAATCCACTTAAAATTCATATGTCTTAAATTTCTATGAAAAAGTGCTCAAGTCCTGTTTAATCAATGGGTCTTCAAAACACTGAACTTTCTCTGGTTACCCCTAATATTTTATAGAACATATACAGGCCCATCTCATCCATTCATATATTTCCCACCTCTCTCCCCCTCTCCCTCTCTCTCTTAATCTCTCCACCCCCCTCTCTCACACACCCCATCCCAGTATGCCAGATTCTATAGCAATAAGGTCAGTACAGCACCACTTCCATCTATCCTCTGGTCCTTCCACAGTGCCATGAACATCTCTATTGCTGAAATGCTATCAAATGTTGCCAAATAAGTGGGGCTCTAATTAGGATCCTTTATTCTCTTAGGCATTTGTATCAGCCAATAATCATATGCCATAGTAGCAATGAGAAGAGGAAACAAATGTTCAGACATATAAACAACAGGGATAGTATCGCAAGCTGTTCTGCCACTCAGATACTTACGGTTAACATGGCAAACATGAGCTGGCACACGTTGAAAGCATGCCTCCAGTTGTGATACAGAACCATGCGGTAATTCTTCCTCACTGTCAAAAGCCACCTACACAGCGTCTGAAATGGAAAAGTACAAATTGCATCAGGGATACTAATGCGTACAAATGGACACGGCGATCGACGCCAAGACAAAAGCAGAAGATTATCTCCACCGAGCAGATGGTTACCTCATAGTCAATTTTAAATTTCTGAACCATTCCAAGCTCCATGAACATCCGGAGTGCTGCAGTTATCATGGCATCCGTGTCGAGGGAGAAGTCATCAAAATGGATGTTATCTATGCCAAGCTCTGACACAAGCGGGATGTTTGCTGCCTGGAATTACCCAAAGACAATAAGAAACTTCTCAGGCACAGCTCAGTTCTTTCTCTTGGCCTTTTGTTTAGCAGGAACATGTGCTAGAGAACATATATAATAGGCATGCCCATTACAAATATCTGGGGCAAATCTGGGAGGGGAAGAGAATGGAAATAGATCTTTGAGCAGGAAACTTCTTAATCTTTTTGCTGAAACTTACAAGTACAATCCAACAAACCCTTGGATTGCCCATGGTCCATTCACCTAAACAGAGACTCCTTAAGTTGTATTTGGACAAATGCAAGTTATGCAGAAGCTCTGCTTGGCAAAAAAAAAAAAAAAAAC